CCAACAGGCAATTTTCAGGCTCACCAGGCCTTAGCAGGGAGCTTTTAGGTACTATGAGTTATTCTATATTGTATTTTATTTCTTTGTTTCTGACTCAGAGGCAATCCCCAAATTTTGTGTTTCTGGAGGATGTTTACTTGTGAAACAACCTATGTGTGTTTGAAAACTATAACAGATTGTTTAAAATGTGAGTCATTAGCAAATGTAAGTGTTCAGATTTCTAGAGAGTAAATGCATTTCTACCTTCCAGAGCTCTGGGGCTATTACAACCTGTTGTCATTGAAGTTTTTTTTTTTTTGTTTTTTTTTTATCTTTATTACAGACCATGGCTTAAAGCTACTGCACATTCTCTTTTAGCATCTACTTTAAAGAGAATGTCACTACACTACTTTCAGCTACACTGGAGTAATGTGTACTTCCACAGTCTTCTGGTATCACAAACATGTCATATCCTTACAGACTTCTTTGAAAACAAAAGATAAAACTCCTTCTCACTGGATTCTTGGAGCTGAGGCATATCAGAGGCGAGGAACATGGCAGCTGTTGTCTGATTTTCAAGCTTAATTTCCTCATTCTCTCTGGCTTGATTTTGAATATCTTATACATAGCCAAGCACAAACTCTACCTCTATATCTTTCTTCTGCTGTAGATCCTAATGCATTCACCTATTCAAGTTTGTCTTGAATTTTTCTGTGCTTATGAGTTTTGGGAATGTGTTTTTTGTTGTCATTGAGTTAGATTTCTAATATAGGAAACAGAGTATAAATAAGGACAGAATAAGTAGATCCTTCCAGAATGCTCACTGCCTTTTTATTTTTCTTTTCTTCTTTGTATTATGGGATGCCTGTGCTAAAGAAAAAACAGGTTTATGATGAAAAGAGAAAAAAATTTTGTTCATTTAAGGAAATCATTGAAGTAAAAAAATTCTGCCCCACTGTTTACTGAACTTTAAACTCAGATGCATGTGGATTTAGAAGCCTCCCTCTGGGAATGAAGTTCCTGTCTGGACTCATTTGATTTTCCTCCACAGTACGTAATTCTTCAGTATTGGGTGGAGAGGTGCCTTCTAACCTGCTTAAGAGTTGCTAGTTATTGCTATTGCTAACTAGAGCCTCAGAAGTTGACTAGGACAAAACTGAAGGCTCATAGGAAGCAGGTGGTTCTCCTTTTGCCCACATGGTTGAGGCCTGAAATCTTACCAGGAGGTATTAAAGTTGTATCAAAGATATGAGAACTGCAAGTTTTACTACTATAATAAATATACATACTTAGTCACTTAACTAGGATCATCTCAGACTCAGGAGATTTTTATATAGAAGGAGAAGGAAGCTGAATCTCCTCTTCACCCTTAACACAGGCACATTCTTATAAAAATTAAATTTACCTTGTGTAAGTGCTCCTTGTTTGTATTTAGATACTTCTAAATCTCATCAGTGCCAATTTGTATTTCAACAGAGAAAAAGGGAATATATATATATATATATATATATAATCTATCAATACTTTTTACTTTTTATGTGTGTATATATGTGTGATACAAGTGTGTAGTTGTTTGTTTGTTTTACTCTTTACTCTTTGGGCTTTCTACTCTATGGGGGGGGGGCTGCCACCACCAGCTCCCAAATAAATATACACACGGAGGCTTATTCTTTCTTATGACTGACTGGCCTTAGCTTGACTTGTTTCTCATTTTCTGTATACCTTTCTTTACTTCCTACTTCATGGCTTGCCGTGTGGCTGTGTTGCTGGCCCCTGATGCTCTCCTCCTTTTCTTGCCCCTTGCTCTTACTTTCCAAGATTTCTCCTCCTATTTATTCTCTCTGCCTGCCAACCCCACCCATCCTTTCTCCTGCCTTGCTATTGGCCATTCAACTCTTTATTAGACCAATCAGGTGTTTTAGACAGATGCAGTAACATAGCTTCACAGAGTTAAACGAATGCAACATAAAAGAATGCAACACCTCTTTGCATCATTAAAAAGTATTACACAGCATAAACAAATGTGACACATTTTAATTGATGTTCCACAGCACAAGTGTGTGAGTGGTGGGCATGCACATGTGTGTGTTTGCACATGGAGGCCAGAGAACAGGCTCAGGTGTTGTTCTTTGGGTGCCATTCAGCTTGCATTTTGAGACAGGATATCTCAATAGCCTGAGCTCACCACCAGTCAGTAATCCATAGGGATCCATTGTGCCCCACCATCATGTTCATTCCCCCCTTTTAAAAAATGTAGATTCTGGTGATCATACCCAGATATTCATGCTTGCAAGACAACCCCTTTATTAATGAACTGTCTCCGTAGCCCATCTTGATTACTATCTGAACTAATACCCTTTCCTATGTTTTAGGGTATAAATATAATCTTAAGGCTGTTATGAGAATTGGTAAGCATGTTAATCAGAATTGTCTATGTAACTTTTAAAGTTTTTAATAGCCTTGAGCATGTCCCATTTTTATAGTTAAGAAACTTGTTAATTTTAAAGTGAATTTTTAGAAATGTTTAGATTATTGCTGCTGCTGCTTTTCTTCCTCCTCCTTTTCTTTTGTCATAGCTCAAAACTGAAGCAAGTCAGTAAGCGAGGTTCCCAGTGTCTGTCTCCCAGAGTTCCCTTCACAAGCTAGACTGGGAGGAGTGGCCAGTAGAACTTTGCAAGCTGTCAGGGTGCGATCAGGACACCTGCCTTGTGGACTCTGGTGAAGACCCTCTTCCTGACTTGCAGATGGCTTCCTTCTTTCTGTGTTCATATATAGGAGAGAGCAAGAGAGAAACAGAAAGTTCAAGTTTTTTTTTCTGATGAGAATAATACTGTTATCCCAAAGGCCATGTCCTCATGGCCTCATCTGACCATATCCCTATAACCCATATCCAAATTCTATCACGTTAGAGGGTAGGGGTTTGTGTAAGTTCAGTAAATAATACCTCTTTTACTGAAACTAGAAATTAAATTTAAAAATTGAGAAATACTGATAGGCTATGTATAAAACACACAAATGGCAGTTATCTTTAGATAGATTATAGAAGATTTTATTAATTTTTAATTAATTGAAAGAATGTTGCTTTTATAACTGGAAAAACACAATAGGTTATTTTCAAAGGAAAATAACACTATGGACTGTAGGATTTCATAATAATTTTGAAATTTTCAGAATTAAATTTTATTTTAATGGGATTTTCCTGAGAATTAATGAAAATACCTATTGTGTGAGCATTTGGCTCCTGACCCATAATAGAGCCCAATAAATAGTTGCCATCTCTTTCCTCCTGTGTCAACACAGTTACAGTGTAGATAATAATAATTGCTGCAGTGACTTGGGAGTTATACTGGGCATGAAACATAGAAAAGGGAAATCTACAGTAGCCACAGAAGGAGACAGACACATTTGTTCTAACATCTTAAAACTGAATTAATAAACAAAGGAACCATGTATTGTATCTATTTAATGTAGCCACAGAAAAAGACAGGCACATTTAGTTCTAACATTTTTTTCTTTTTCTTTTTCTATTAATTAGAAAGAAGATTATTTTACATGTCAATCCCAGGTCCCTCTTCCTCCCCTCCTTCCCTACCCCTCCCCAGCTAACACCCTACCTATCCCATACCCTTTCTGCGCCCCAGGGAGGGTGAGGCCTTCAACAGGGGTTCTTTAGAGTCTGTCATAACCTTTGGGATAGGGCCTAGGCCCACCCCTTGTGTCTAGGCTCAGGGAGTATCCCTCCATGTGGGATGGGCTCCCAAAGTCCATTCCTATGCTAGGGATAAGTACTGATCCAGTACAAAGGGCCCCATAGATTTCTGAGGTCTCCTCACTGACACCCACATTCAGGTCAGTCTGGATCAGTCCCATGCTGGTTTCTCAGCTATCAGTCTGGGGGACCAAGAGCTCTACAGTTCTAACATTTTAAAACTGAGTTAGTAAACACAGGAACCATATCTTGTATTTACTAATTAAACTTTTAGGTTCTAAAATCCTAAACTAATTAAAGAACTATTAGATAATTTTCATTAGCATTTAATGATAAAATTAACACTGATTAATTGCATCTTTGTAATATAATGCAGGCAAATGGAGATAGTGAGAATGCTTAAGCAACTTTAGACATCTTGTTTCTCACTCTGGAAGCTTGGGGCAATGTTTTTGGTTGTGCTTGGTGGCTTGCCCTGTAAGAGCCCTCTATTCTGCACTTCCTCAAGCATCGTTTCTTATTATGCATTCTCTTGTGTATAGTCTGTCACTGGATTTTTTTTTCTCAATTAATCCCACATCTGAATGTAATATTTCTAGTTTTTCGGGTCTGTAAATCAATAGGTTAGAAATGGCTTGCAAGGTAGTCATGTTTTTTGTCACGTAGGGACCTGACTGCTTGCCAAATAAATCACGATGCTGTGATATATTATTTCCAGTTGTTATAAATTTTCAATATTTATTGTATTGGTCATACAAAGTCAGGATTCAGTTATTTAATTTCACTTATGTCTGTATTTGAGATGAGAATCCTTTTCTCCATTAGTGAGTTTGAGTTTCCCTCTCTCTTGGAGTCAAATTCTAAGCATGCCTATAAAAGCAGCCACAGAACCCACACAGAAACAAACAGGAACAAACTGCTTCTGTGTTTACAGATGGACTAAAACATGTACCCTGTTCAACTGTTTCCAAAATTATAATTTTCTCACTGAAATAGGTGTTTATTTATTTATTTAGATACTGTAGATGATTGTTGCCACTGTTGCTTAGTAATCTGGTTCCTCGACATTAGTGAAACCTGGCTAGCTTACTCCCTGTATCATAGACCCTGTTCATAGGTCACTCAAGCAGTGACCTGAGTTGTGATCCTCAGATGTGAAAATGCAAACCCTTTTGAGCTCCAGGCTAGTTCTGCAGCATGGCTAATGCCACACTACTAGAGTTCCCTTCTTAAATTCTATTTTGGCAATTGTGAAATAAAAGAAAACCGAACAAAACAAAAACCTCCAACTTTCTTTCCCTTTTATCAACAGGACACAAAAATTGCTTCGTTGGAGCGAAACATCCGGGACCTGGAGGATGAGATCCAGATGTTGAAAGCCAATGGTGTGCTCAACACAGAGGACCGAGAGGAGGAGATCAAACAAATTGAGGTGTACAAAAGCCACTCTAAGTTTATGAAGACCAAGGTGGGTTGTGGAGTCTCAACTTTTATGGTCTGGATTCGAGGAAAAGGGTATAGTTTACCTGCTTGTTTCTCCAAAGACCCACACAGTCTGCCTCATGTGACATGAAATACTTGGATAGTAAAGAAGAACATGGGGAAATTTACATTCAAAAATAAAGGATCCAAAGGGGGGGTCTGAGGAAATCTTTAGTGGGGTGCCTACTCTGTGAGGTTCGGGGTGGCTGCCTTGCGCTTCTGTGTCTCTGGAGTTCACAGGGTTTTAGTCTCTCCCACATCTCCAGTTACCAGCACTCTTTTCTTTGAATTGCTGCTCTGCCTGGTTCTTGCCCATCCCTGGAAGCTGTTAGCACATCTCAGAGCTATTAAGATATTCTGGTTTTAGCATAAGACAAATAATTTTAAGCATCAGTGCTCCCATTTAGCCAAATTCTTCAACTTGTCTAAGCTGGGGTTTCTTCATTTGTGAAATGGATCAGAAAGGAAGTCCCACCTCTGTTAAGCCATTTTGTTTTTGAAAGTAATCACTACTAATTTATTTCCTTTCCTTTTCCCCCACTTTTAAGTGTCCCCTTTTTAAATCTTGTATTTTAATAGTCTTTGTTCTCTTGTCATAAGATTCAGCAGAGTTAGAGAAAGTAGTGGGAGGGGAAGAAAAATTAAGCAAATTTCTCTTATCTGCAACATTCATATTCTATACAGATTTAAAAATTATATGAAGAAATAATACACTTAACCTTTAATACATATGTATACCTGTGTATACATGGATGCTTCTTCAAGGAATTAAATCAAACACAATGCTTTATTCTGAAGATTCCCTATCTTTATCACAGGCATTGAGATTATGACAACAAATGTGGGTCAAAGATTAGAGATGTCAGAAGTAGAATGTCCAGTGACTTTGAATGCAGCCATTTCCATTCAGCAATGTGAATACCAATGGCATTCCCTGTTCTAGTCTCCCTTCTGGTTTCTTGCTTGCAGTCATATCCCAGAGAGCTGAACTAAAGTAGAGCAAGCAGAGTCCTAAGGTGATCTATAGACAGTGCTCAAGTCACCATGTAGTGGGATATCAGAAGCACAGCTAAGAGTAAGTTCCAGAAGTTTTGGATGGTACTACTGTTTTAGATTAAGCTAATCTTCCAACTCTGCAGCTTAACACCAAGAGATTGAGTATTCAAGCAGCGTCCACAGCTGAAAATGCTTGAAATTGGCCAAAGCTACCCTGCATTATGGATTCAGTCCAGGTGAATATAGCATTCATGTAGTCTTCAGCAAGAAGTCATGATGGCTGCTAGCCCACATTTGTCTGAGACCGTATCCTTGAGTTCTGTTTCACTTCTCATGGTAGTTACTTTAAAGGGTTCCAGAGAGTCATGACCAAGGAATGCTTGAGGCCTTGAGGTAGAGTAAAGTGGGGAGAGTATTGACTAAAGACTTGAACTGGCCCAGGACCATCTCTAGCCCATCTTTGCTAGCAGGGAGGCTCTAGGGAGTTGGTCATGTCACCTAGTCACACTTTATGTATCTATAAAATGGGCAGCACTGACAGACATAGAAAATGGCCCACAAGGATTAACTGCGAGTTTTAAAAAACAATTTAATTAAGTTTCCTGGCTCAGAAAAGGGTGAATAATAATTTTAAGTATTATTTTTGAAGAACTATAACCCAATTAATAATGGTGATGAAATACTGTTCTTATTGAACTGACTTGGAAAGTGACTTTGTGATCAAATAAAAATTTGTTATACCTCATAAAAATCTTACACTGATAAACGTTAGCTAAATGTACTAGTAGGAGTCCATTTTTATGTTTTCAGGTTGAAAGTATGTTCTTATTGGATTGGACCATAACATTTATTGCTCATTTCTTTATTGACATCTCTCGAATCTCCTACTGAGGAGTGAGCAGGATTCCTATTTAAGCCTGGGAATGCTGCCTGGAGTAGTTTGGAGGAAAATACTTGAACTAGCTATCAAGAAAGCTATGTACCCTCAGTTTAATATTGACCTGGAAGTTGGTTCTGGGGTGGGGGTGGGGTCTCTGGAAATCTCTGTGATTAAAGTAATACTGAAGACTTAAATTATTTTCATAAACATGGCACCATAGCAAAACCAGGACAACATATTTTGGGAGAAGGTGGAAGATGAGCTATAAAAACATAACAGCAGGCCAGACGTTGGTGGCATACACCTTTAATCCCAGCACTCAGGAGGCAGAGGCAGGCGGATCTGTGTGATTTCGAGGCCAGCCTGGTCTCCAGAGGGAGTGCCAGGATAGGCTCCAAAGCTACACAGAGAAACCCTGTCTTGAAAAACCAAAAAAAAAAAAAAAAAGTTAAAAAATAAAAAAAAAAATAACAGCAGAGTTTTAGAATTTGACCTGGTAGGGAGTTAGAAGTATCAGATATATTGGCCGGGTGGAAATCCCTGCACCTAGCAAGTCCTTTGGCTTGTTAACATTGGCCTCAAGAGCCAAAGCTTACTGAAACACACTCTGCCCTGTGGAACCTTCCTAGATGGAGACTCAAATTTCTGTTCTACCTCCAAAGGCGTAGAGGATTTGGACTATGAAACCCATGTCTAAGAGACCATCAAAAGCACTAGTTATTTTCAGGTACATCATTAAGCTTCTGAGAATGGAATGAAGCATACAAATAATTGCTTTTCCAAAGTAATGGCACCCCTTTCTGTAGATGGCTTTATTCCTAGTCTAACACAGTTTTCATCTGCTGACCTCACTATTTCTGTGTTAGCTCTTCTGTCTGTCTTGAGTGTTCGTCAAAGGTGCCACTGTGCTGTTATGGATCTCCCCTTCTATTCTGAATTTGCAATGTATTTTTATAAACCTCTGACAGATTACAAACCTCACAACCCACTGCATGATAATAAGCATGTCACTTTCTTGACACCAGGGGGATGTATCTGCAGTGAGAAAAAGCTGTTTTCCTTGGCTGAGTGGGTTTTTCAGAGTGTTGGTTGTGTCACAGTTATAAGTGGGGGAAGAATTCACTGACAGGATGAAGTGTGTCTGAAGTCCACATGGACTTCATATGAGGCAGGTGATGTAATTCCAATGGGCTTTTCCTTTGGCTATCACAGAGATGCCTTCCCTGGCTTCAATCCTCATGTATGTTTGATTGCATCACTTTCCATTTTTATTGAGTTTATGGCTGTAAAAGAAGCAAAAGGCATATTTTTGGAAATATGTGTTTTTTTTTCCCTATAAATGTATTCCCTTCAGAAAATCCTTTTTCGGTTATTGTCTGCATAAATATTTATTTAAAATTTACCTCATGGCAATGATAGTCTGAAAGCTATTTTGAAGAGCCTGCCTGTTTAATATTTATAGACTGAAGCATCTTTATCACCATCAACCCATTTTTGTGCAAGAAAGTAGGTGTCTGTGTGGAGCCTGCTTCACACTTCCTGTTCACTCTCTTCTGTGAATTAGGAGCTTTCATTTATATTTGTTTCCCCATACCCCAGCCCCAGAGCAACTCTCTGCTAGGGTGTTTGTGGTAGTTTTTACAAATGGGCATTGAGACTATCAGCATTGTCTTTGCTTAATTCATGCTGAGCTGACAATCTTTGGTGCTTTTTCAGTGGAATGGGTTTCATATATGTGCTGGTTGTACACTGAACAGTCTGTGATTTGGGGTCCACAGCCCCATTCTAGTGGGTCACAACAAAGCTTACTGTTTTGTTTTTTCTTTGAGTTACCATTTTAGGGAATCCTAATTCTGACCAGCTCTCTATTTACATTCTGTTCTTATGGGTCCTCGGGAGAGGTAACTCTTAGTTCTGCTCTACACAGAAGTGAAAGTGGATTCAGGATTCTAACGTCAGGGAGCTGTATGGTTGGCACAGTGCTCACCTGAGCAGTGTTCACTGGGCTCACATTCTCATCACTAAGCCATGGGGATTTCCCCTAAAGCCTTTCAGAATCCTTCTCTGGCCATTTTCTCTTCAGCCCTCTAGCAGTTCTTTCAATTTGGTAAGCTAGGAAATGTGTGTGTTTCCTGATGCCATGAGATTTCTTGCTAGTGGGTTTTCTTCTGTATTTGGGTTTTCCATCTATAAATGCTGCAGTGGTTTCTCTTCTGGTTGCTGTGAGGAAAAACCCTGTGACAAAATCAACTAAGCGGAGAATGATTTATTTGGCTGTCAATTCAGAGTGTACTCTGTCATAGCAAGGAAGTCAAGGCAGTAGGGATTTGAAGAGATAGTCACATCCACGGTGAAGAGCAGAGAGAGAATGAATGCATGTGTGTTTGTGTTTTTTCCTACTCTTACACTATTGAAAATTATCTCCTAGGGGATGGTGCTACCCACTATGGACTAGTCCTCCCACTTTAGTAAGTCCAATTAGGAAAACTCTTCACAGGCGAAATCATTCATAGGCATGCCAATGGTCAATCTAGGCTAGACAGTTCTTCATTGGGAGTTCCTTCCTAGGTGACTCTACAATGTTTCAAGCTGCCAGTCAAACCTAATTTGGTACATCTACCTTTCTGGTGAGTGCTGAATCTAAACCCTTCTGAAGATAGAAGTCTCACTCCTGGTGCCATGTAGGACCACAATAGAAAAGGGAAACAATAGAATCAGAAGTTATACATTTCCTAAGTTAAAAGTTATAAGACACTGTTAGGATAAATCTTTCTGCCAAAAGTCGCTGAGCCCCATCACCATGTGTGGGCTTTTACGCCAGCCACCCACCCGAGTTAGGGCCCAAATTAATATACAGAAAGACTTGTATTAGGTTCAAATACTGCTTGGCCAATGACTAGGATTCTCATGTTAGCTCAGTCTCAATTATCATAAATCTATATATTTTATGACTTATCTTATTGGACGCCTTATTGGCGTCCCTCCTTGCCAGTGGATCATATTGTGCTGCTGGAGGAAGAGTGGAGGGGGAAAGGACACTTCCTGTTTCTCCTTGCTTAAATATGAGTCTCCTTGCTATGTCACTTCCTGCCTGGATCCATACCAATGCA